TCCTCATGCCCTACATATAAGGTACTTTTTTTTTTTTGGTCTTTTTGAGACAGGGTCTCCCTGTAGCCCCAGCTGTCCTGGAACTCACTACTGACTATGTGGACCAGGCTGGTCTTGAACTCACAGAGATCCACCTGCCTCTGCCTCCTGAGTACTGGGATTAAAGGCATGTGCCACCACGCCCAGAAGGTACTTTGTTTTTAAAATATTTTATTTATTATTTCTATTTTATGTGTATGAGTGAGTGTATTGCCTGCATGTAGGTAGATGCACCTGTGTCATGCCAGTGGAGGTCAGAAGAATGCATCAGATCCCCTGGAGTTACAGATGGTGGTTAGCCACCATGTGGGTGCTGGGAATCTAACTTGGGTCCTCTGCAAGAGCAGTCAGTGGTCTTAACCACTGAGCCATTTCTCCACCCCCACCTCTTCCAGTTTCTATTCCCCAGCAGAATACAGCACACGGCCCCAGGGCTGGAGACAGTATTGAGATGAGTGAGCTGTGGCCCCCCGGCAGCACGGAGCCACTGTTGGACTGAAGCATCTATTTGTTGCACAGATGTGGGCTAGTAATTCCTTTTCCTTTCATGTACACCCATTGAAATGGCAGACATTGCTTCCATTTTTCTGACTTGGCTTGAGCTTGTTGTAAGAGCCCCATGGTGAACTCTCTGGGCTGTCTCCACGAAGTACAGAGAGTGGGAAGGGTGGGTGCCCTGTTTCACATACTCCCCTAGTGCTGTGTTTCTGATTAAAGCTGACAACTGTCAGTGAGATGGTCTGAAACACTGTGTTCTACTGTGCTTCCAGAAGGTTCCTGGAAGCAACTCAGGGAAAGAAAGGCAGCAGCCAGCCCAAGAAGAACAGTGAGGCGGAGCAGGAGACCTTGGCCATTGCTTGTGACTCACCTGGCATCCCTTCACCGTGCCTCAGCCTGGTGAGAGGCTCCTGGGCTCTCTGTTCTCTTTAAGAAATCTAATCCTCTGAGATGTACAAAAGCAGGGTCAAGATGGCCTGGGCGCTGAGCCCCCACCCTAGCCTACCACTTCCAGTCACTCCCTTCCATCAGCCTTGGACTAAAACCACACAAGACCCAGAGACAGACAGGGACTGACAGCAGGCCCTGGGAGACCTAGCAAATCAGAATGCTCATTTCTAGTTTTTCAGCCAAACCTCATAGTTCCAACCTCATAGTTGGAATGTTAAAGCATGGGATATGCCTTTGCTAACGTTTGAAAAATGTTTCTTCACCAGGAAGGGGTGGAAGAGGATTTGCATGGGAAATTCTTTCCTTTATACATAATCAACTGTTACTGAATTTAAATTACTCCCAGCCAGAGAGTGATGCCAGTAAAATTGTTACACTGTGTAGCAACTATGAGCCTTCCTGTGAGCTGGGTGAGGCTGCAGGACTAGATTCACTCTAGACAAGATTCACTCCATGGCAGTCATTCTTATGTGTGCTGGGGAAGATACCATAGAGAAAGGGTGAGATTGGCTATGGCAAGAGTCTCCCAGTTGGTTAGTGGCTTCCTGCCACGTGGGCAGCAGGGCAGGACTCCCCAGTGGGAGATGTACTCTGGGGCAGGGAAGACAGTGAATGATGGCACAGCTGGGACAGAAGCCTGACCCTTTACATGGGAGGGGCCAGGATATGCCCTGATCCTGGTGCCTAGAACATTGGTCTAAACATCCTTCTTGACTCCTTTTCATATTAGATTGTACAGGGAAAATCCCACATGGGCCAGGCTTTATTGTGGCAAGACTGGGGGTTTTGTTTTTGAGATGGTCTCCTGTGTAGTTTAGGCTGGCCTCATACTCTAGATCTTTCTGCCCCCAACCTGCCATCTACTGGGCTTCCAGTCGGATGCCACTATGCCCAACTCTCCCTTCCATTGATCTCAGGTCAGAGTTTGATTTGTTCATTTACCTACTTATTAATGGAACAAATCCTGTTCATCTTTCCCTTCAACCATTGGCTCCATCCTTAGATAGAGCAAGGATGGCCCAGTTTTGTTCTTGTATTGCCACTCAAAAGCTTGAGGTAGCTGGGTGTGGTGGCGCATGACTTTAATCCCAGCACTCAGGAGGCAGGGGCAGGCAGATCTCTGTGAGTTCCAGGTCAGCTGGGACTACAGGGAGACCCTGCCTCAAAAAGACCCCCCCCCAAAAAAAAGCTTGAGGCAACCCAGAAGAGCCCTAGGTAGCCTCAATTCCCTGATGAGGGCATGGATACTCAGCAGGTGAAGGATTTATGGATGCTACACAGCTGCTAGGCAGCAGGAAGTGTGTGTTATGTGAGTGTCTAGATGGTATCTTGCCTCTTTGTCTAAGCTTGATATCATCTTTTGGAATGGCCATAGATAGTTCTAGATCAGGATCCTGAACAACTGGCTCAGTGTTCTTAAGAAAGGAAGGAAAGAGGCCATGCTCCTCGGCTGCAGTTCAGCCACTCCACTGTGGCTGTCCACTTACACTGAGACCTGTGTTCCTGGTGGACTTAGAAACAGATTCTGGGGACTGGAGAGATGGCTCAGTGGTTAAGAGCCCTGGTTTGTTCTTGCAGAAGACCCAGGTTCAAATTCCAGCATTCACATGGCAGCTAACAACTGTCCCTAACTCCACTTCTGCTGGGGCACTGCACTCACATGCACATATCCACACATATGCATGATTAGAAATAAAAGTGAATTAGAAAGAAAAACAACAGACTCTGGATTTCTTTTAGCTCTTATAATGCAGGTATGGGAGCTGGGGATGGAACTCAGTGGCAGAGCATTTGCCAGCATGTGTGAGGTCCTGGATTCCATCCCCACAACGGCAAAAAACAAAAATCAACCAAAAGGAAAGAAAAAAGCCCCAAAGCCATGTGGATACGTACTAGAACATATTCTGAGAGTTAATGGATAGAAACTACATATTTGCCACACATAGGATGATGGGCAGATAACAAGAACAGGATTGACCAGGATTATTTATTTATTTATTTATTTATTTATTTTTGGTCTTTTTGTGATAGGATCTCCCTGTAGCCACAGCTGGCCTGGAACTCACTATGTAGACCAGGCTGGCTTTGAACTCACAGAGATCCACCTGCCTCTGTCTCCCAAGCACTGGAATTAAAGACCTGTACCACCACACCCAGCTGGTTTTATTTATTTTTAAAAAGCTGGGTGTGGGAATTAGTGTAGTTTCCTCAAAAACCTGAAAATAGCTAGGTATGATGGCTCAGTCCTTTAATCCCAGCACTCAGGAGGCAGAGGCAGGAGGATCTCTGTGAGTTTGAGGCTACCGTGGTCTACAAAGGAAGTTCCAGGCCAGCTGTGCTATAGGAGTCCTTGTCTCGAAAAAATAAAAAGCTGACTCATGAGTGTTTTTTATGATTTAAAATATACCTGTATTTCCAGTCTTCACCTGAGGTTTCATATGGTTCTCTTAGCTAAGTTCCTAGGTTTGAAGCACGGTAAACTCACAGATACTAAAGTCATGGGAGTTTTAGATTGATATATAGGTGCCATGCTCTTTTCTAGTGGCATGTCCTCCCTTGGCAGTTAGGAGGTACTGAAAGTGAGGAGCTCAGGCAAGTAACTTGCCCTGAAGGAGAGAAAGCCAGTCACAAAAAGCAACTGGATGCTACTGCCAAAAGGTTTGTGGTTGAGGGGCAGCTCCACTTGACACATTCTTAGTAGGTGCAAAAAGCTCCAAGTTGATATGCTCAGATGAAGTCTTATAGCTGCCTTCTTCCAAACCCTTGAGAGTCTCGTAGACATGATCTCATCGCATAGCACAACCATGAAATAGAGAAGATGAGGTGTTATCACTCAGCTTCAGGTGAGGTGGGAGGTGCTTTGTGTCTGAGCTGTGCTGCCTTCTGCCCTGGCAACTCCAGAGGCTGAACATTGGCCCTTTCTCTCAAGCCAAGTGCTGCCTCACAGAACTATGTTCTCACCCCATCTCCTGGCCTGACTCTTCAGCTGACACTTTTGTTCCTCCACTTATGTGGTAGCACTCCAAGCCTTCAGTCCCAAGCTTTTCCCTAGTCGTCTCTGGCCCTGCAGTCTTGCCGAGTCCCAGACCTGCTTCACTGACTTCACAAGTCCATCTAATGAATGTTCTTTTGTCCTACCACTCAGCTGTCACAGCCAGGAAGAGAGAACATGATTTAATGTTAGATGATCACATGGGTAGTACTAAGAACTTGGTTTGTTCTAGGCACTGTGTGAAGTGGGTGGATGAAGCTATGAGTGATACGAAGATTTAAGCCCTGCCAGATTTCTCCCAGTCCAAGGGAGCGGACTAGGAGGAATTACCCAGGTGCTGTCAGGCCTCTTACCCCTTGGGTGGTAATTCATAGTGACTTCACCTGCCCTGTCCTGTTTTGTGTGATCATCCTATAAGCAGTTTTAAGGGATCTGTCCTGTGCTGACAGGGCTCCAGGAGTTCCATAAGACCTGCCTCTTCTTTTCCTTTTTCCTACTAGTTGATCCCTAAGGGCAGCTACCTAACTGCTGTAGATGGCAGAAGGCATTGTAAACAGGAGGCATTCAATAAGTATCTCATATCTGACTCTTCAGCAGTTTTCCCTCTGGTATACTTCAGCTGAACCCAGAGATAGCCTAGGGGTGAGGGTGAGCTGGGATCAGGCCCAGTTCCCTGACTGCCACAGTTCCTCCTTGAGGTATTTGGTTATAGATTTATTCTGACTCTACCAGCCCAATCACAAAAGCTCTTTAAGAAGAACTTGAGTCTCTTCCAGATTTACCATCAGAATCTCCATATGTTCTTGATACAAGCTCTCAACCATCCATGGTGTGTTATGTACAGACTGGGACAAGTCCCAAGTTGTCTGTAGCACCTGGTAGGGCCCCAGCAGCCACAGAGAGGCAGAGTGTCACAGTATGGCAGGCACAGAGTGGAGACGTAAGTCACTGGTGGCTTTGTTTTAGTAAAGATGATGATGATGGTGATAATGATGATGATACCTGCTTGCTTCCTTCCCAGGAGATGGCTGGCAGAGCACTCAAGCAGACAGGCAGCAGAAGTATTGAAGCTGCCCTGGAATACATCAGTAAGATGGGCTACCTGGATCCCAGGAATGAGCAGATTGTGCGCGTCATCAAGCAGACCTCCCCAGGTGAGCCTGGCCATGTGGTGGCCAAGGATCTGAAATCTGAGAGCGGGAAGTAGGCACTTGACAGAGAGCTAGCCCTGAAGGCAGTGAGCCACAGGTAGTAGACTCTGGAAGTAACCTGGGTGCTCATCTGACCCCTCTTTATAGCAATCTGTGTTACTATCTAGAGGCTTTATGTACTTATTTTATTTTCTGAAGGGTGAAAAAATTAAGCAGAGTAAGAAATTTTAAAAAATTTAAATTTTCTTGTGGGCCTGGGTAGAGTCTTTGACAAGGGAGGCTTATATGAATTCTAGAACATTTTTTCTCAAATTCAATGGCAGGTACCTCTCAAGGCCAGCAAGTGTGGACAGAGTGCTGGACCTCCCCTCCATGTCAGCCTGGAAGGGGCAGAGGGCATGTACTCTGCTTTACTGGCTGTCCTAAGTGTTCCTCTCCAAAGGTGGAATAGATGGGTCCTGTGTTGGGTATTTGAGCTCCCTGGAGTATGATAAAGGATTCACATTCCTTGCAAAAGGAGTTTCCCCTGATGTGTGGAAGACCTGGGATAAAACCCACTTCCTGAGGTGAAAGAAAATTCCACAGGCTTTCTAAGTGTATGTGCTATTATTAATGGGACACACATTTCTCGGTTTTTGTTTTGTTTTATTTTTGGTCTTTTTGAGACAGGGTCTCCCTATAGCCCCAGCTGGCCTGGAATTCACAGAGATCCACTTACTTCTGCTTCCCAAGTGCTGGGATTAAAGGCAAGAGCCACCAAGCCTGGCTTTCTGTTTTTTTCTTGAAGGAAGAAATTTCCTTAACCAGTCCTTGGCTAGCCATCTGTTCTTGGGTTCTTAGAGTTCTGGAGTCTTGGGGCATGGAAGCCACAGCAAAACATAAGCCTAGCTCTGTTACAGTTGCCTTCCTTCTTGGCTTTGGTGTGTTGTGCTCAGTGAGCAGCCTGCTTATCCCAGATAACACAAGCTATCTATTAGCTGTAACTTCTACTCAGTGCCATGGCTGCGGGTTATCACTGTCTGCTGTGAGTTGCAGGGCTTGCCCCACACCAATGAGCAGGACACAGCCTTTGGACTACAGGGTCCTCTGCCAGATGAAGCAGAACAGGGTCCATGTAGAGAAATGAAAAGAACCTGTGTCCTTCCTTTCAGGCATCTACCTTAAATGAGGAAATATTTTCAAAGTGAGAAAGTCAGGAATAAGGAATCAGCACCTGTGGGACATCTGGGTGTTTTAAAGACTTTATTTAGAATTATGTCTGTGTGTGGGTATGCGCATCTGAGTATAGTCCACACAGAGGCCAGAGGTGCTGAATCCCCCAGGACCTTGAGTTGCAGGCAGTTGTGAGCCCTATGATGTGGGTGCTGGGAACTGAACTCTGGTCCTCTGCAAGAGCAATATGTGCTTCATTCACTGTTCGTGGTGTTATATTATTGTTGGGTTTTTTTTTTTTTTCTAATTTGGAAAATAGGTGAGAGGAAAGTGGGTATTTGAGCAGTGGATATGATTCTTCCCTTTGTTAGGGAGAAGCAGACCTTAGGAGTCATGGCAGTAAATTTGGGTCTCCCAATCGACTTAGCATGGCTATGGAGAAAACAAACGTGGATGTCCAGGTGGTCCCCTAGCATGGCTGGAGACTGACCCTGGGTGTCAGGTCCTTTAAGGCATTGCCCTCTCTCAGGCCCATTACTCTCCCATGTGATTGATCTTTGGCCTGCAGCCCAAAACCCATTCCCTGGTACTTTAATGCCATCTTAGAGTGACAGGTTCCTGCTGGGACAAGATACACTCTACCAGGACTGAGTAGAAGACCCTGTATATCTGTTCAGTCCCAAAGATACCTCTAGTGTGGGACCAACCTGCAATGTGGGAGCCCAATGGTCCTATGAGCTCTGATGCTGACTTTCCACACTTTCCACTGTAGGAAAGGGCCTGGTGCCCACCCCAGTGACGCGGCGGCCCAGCTTCGAGGGCGCGAGGGAAGCATTCCCGTCTTACCACCAGTTGGGTGGTGCAGCCTACGAGGGTCCGGGCTTCGGTGCTGATGGCCCCGCTCCGGTGGAGGAGGTGCCCCGGCAGTACGCAGACTTCCTCTTCCCTGGAGTCGGCGCCCACGGCGCGCAGGCCCACCAGCACCCTCCCAAGGGCTATGGCGCAGCAGCAGAGGCGGCGGGCACGCACTTCCCAGGTGCCCACTACAGCCGCGCGCACCTACTGGTGGCCGCGGAGCAGCCTGGCTACGGTGTACAGCGCAGTCCCTCCTTCCAGAGCAAGACGCCGCCCGAGGCGGGCTATGCAGGCCTCGCCAAGGCCCCGGGCGGCCCACCTGGCGCCAGCCTCGCCTTCCCTGCCCCTTCTGGGGGACTGTATGCCCCGCATGGGCACCACAAGCCTGCCGGCCCAGGGGCTCACCAGCTGCACGTGCTAGGTGCCCGCGGCCCCGCATTCGCTGGGGACAGCCCTCCGCAGAGCCTGCTTGCACCCTCCAGAAACAGCCTCAACGTGGACCTGTACGAGCTGGGCGCCCCTGTACCCTGGCCCGCTGCCCCGCTCGCCCGCCGAAACTCGCTGCAGAAGCCCGGGCTGGAGGCGCCCCGCCAGCATGTGGCCTTCCGGACCGGCCCCGGCCCCAGCAGGACCAACTCCTTCAGTAGCCCGCAGCCGCGCGCAGGCCCCCAGTCCGAGCCTTCGCTGCCAGCCCCCAACACAGTAACCGCGGTGACGGCCGCACACATCCTGCACCCTGTGAAGAGCGTGCGTGTGCTTAGGCCAGAGCCACAGACGGCCGTGGGACCCTCGCATCCCTCCTGGGTTCCCGCGCCCACCACATCCGCAGAGGGCCTGGAGGCCATGGACGAGCATGCCCTGGGTGTGGGCTGCGCCAATGCACACCCACTGGACATGGACTATGGCGGCCCCGAGCGCAGGTGCCCACCACCGCCCTACCCGAAGCACCTACTGCTGCCCAGCAAAGCAGAGCAGTACGACCTGGACCTGGATAGCCTGTGCTCCGGCGTGGAGCAGAGCCTACGCGGAGGTGTTGAGCCCGACAGGAGCGACAAGAGCCACAAGAGTGCCAAGGGGGACAAAGGCAGCAAGGATAAAAAACAGATCCAGACCTCCCCGGTGCCTGTCCGCAAAAATAGCAGGGATGAAGAGAAGAGAGAGTCGCGTATCAAGAGCTACTCCCCATATGCCTTCAAGTTCTTCATGGAACAGCACGTGGAAAACGTCATCAAAACCTACCAGCAGAAGGTCAACCGGAGGCTGCAGCTGGAGCAGGAAATGGCCAAAGTAATTATTTCTTCCGTTCTTACTTAGTTCCCAGTTCCTCCTTCCACTTGTAGCAAAAAGCACTGCAGGGAATTCTGTTGCCATTTTACACACCTTTACCACACCTATACCTCTCATAGGCCTGGGTATGGGCCAGCCACTTGGAAAAGTCACAAATGTATGTCCTCTCTATCTCCTTCCTCCAACCTCAGGAGAATCAGCATAACCTAACAACTAAATTAGCAAATTGATTTGCATGGTGTGTCCTCACTCTTGAAGAAAACTCATCAAGGGTTATTTACCAATAACATTTTAAAAGATCAGGAAAAAAAGTTTGTTTTATAAATTGCATATTCTAGAGAAAAATGTAATAGCACTGATCCATTGATCCAAATTAGTAAATAGGTTTGGTTTTGTTTCTTTGAGACAGCATCTTCATTTGTAGCCCAGGCTGCTGAATTCCCAGTCCTTCTGCTTCAGCTTCAGGTGTTGGGACTACTGGCATGTTCCACAATGTCTGGCTCAGTGAATAATGTTTTAAGCATACTGTAATTGACACTGTAAAGTACTAGAGAAGGTAATTATGAGATTATTGAAATTTAAATGTAGTAGCAAATGTAAATCATATAAATCAGTTATTTTGAACTCTAAAAATTATGTTTCTACTCTCACTTCCTGCTGTCTCATAGTCCTTGCTTGTTCTCTGTTTTCCTAGAACTACCGAAATATTAGATTACACTTGAGTTCCAGGAATGTTTGTTGCAGATTTTTACTTGTAGTGGTTTTCCTTTGTTTTCAGAGCCTAAAATCACCTAGAGAATTTTCTTTGTATTCCAGACTTGCATAAATGTGAGTAGATATATTTAGTTATATCCATGCACACATATATTTTGATAATCCCTTGCATATATAAATTATCCTACCTGTAATCTGTTCAACCTGCTCTTCTGTGTTCTCCTTTCTGTAGACTCCTCTGAGCTGCAGGGCGTTCCTGCCCCACACATATATGGGGTCCATATGAAGTGACTTTGTGATGTTCCTTGTGTGCAGGCTGGACTCTGTGAGGCTGAGCAGGAGCAGATGAGGAAGATCCTTTACCAGAAGGAGTCTAACTACAACAGGCTGAAGAGGGCCAAGATGGACAAGTCCATGTTTGTGAAAATCAAAACTCTGGGAATTGGTGCCTTTGGAGAAGTGTGCCTTGCCTGTAAGGTGGACACTCATGCCCTATATGCCATGAAGACTCTGAGGAAGAAAGATGTCTTGAACCGGAATCAGGTGGCCCATGTCAAGGCTGAGCGGGACATCCTGGCTGAGGCAGACAATGAGTGGGTGGTCAAACTCTACTACTCCTTTCAGGACAAAGATAGCCTGTACTTTGTGATGGACTACATCCCTGGGGGGGACATGATGAGCCTGCTGATTCGGATGGAGGTCTTCCCTGAGCACCTGGCCCGCTTCTACATTGCAGAGTTGACTCTGGCCATTGAGAGTGTCCACAAAATGGGCTTCATCCACAGGGACATCAAGCCCGACAATATCTTGATAGATCTAGATGGTCATATCAAGCTGACAGATTTTGGCCTCTGCACTGGATTCAGGTGGACTCATAATTCCAAGTACTACCAGAAAGGTATTGTTTCAGGCATGCAGTGTGTGACTCCCACATCCACATGAAGGTCAGCCACACCAGGCAGCTGCTCTAGTCCCAGTGGCTCCTAACCATTTCAAAATTATCTGTTACTGTGTTGTTTTATGATTTGGTGTGGCATATTTCCCTTCTTAAAGGAGTTATATGAAGTCTCATTTGAGGTGGGTTTTTTTTTTCAAGTTAGTGGGCTCTTACTATATTTTTTGACCACTAAGGGCCTTTGTGAAGAACCACCACTCTTTCCTACTAAAACAATCCTTGATGCTGGGTGTGGTGGCACATGCCTTTAACCCCAACCCTTAGGAGGCAGAGGCAGGTAGATCTCTGTGAGTTCAAGGCTAGCCTGGTCTTACATACTGAGTTCCAGGCCAGCCCCCACTACAGGGAAACCCTGTCTCAAAAAGGCAAACAAAACAAAACAACAACAATCCTTGAATATCTGGTGTGGTGGCATACCCAACTTTAATCCCAGCATTTGGGAGGCAGGGGCAGGTGGAACTCTGTGAGATTGTAGCCAGCCTAGTCTACATAATGAGTTCCAGGTAGGCTGGGGCTAGGAGGACTTTGTCAAAAAAAAAAAAAAATCCTTGAAAAATAAGGGTTGGAGAGGAGTTTGTCTTGACATGTCAGCAGCTGACTGGAATTACTTTCCTATTTTAAGCCATGGATTTGTTGCATTATTGAGTGTGAAAATTCACATTTGCTCTTTTTACCATTCCCTCTTTCCCTGGTAAAGGGAACCACATCAGACAGGACAGCATGGAGCCTGGTGACCTCTGGGACGATGTTTCTAACTGTCGATGTGGAGACAGGCTAAAGACGCTGGAGCACAGAGCACAGAAGCAGCACCAGCGATGCCTGGCTCATTCCCTGGTCGGAACTCCAAATTATATCGCTCCGGAGGTGCTTCTCCGCAAAGGTATGCCATCCACTACCCTCTGCCTCCCAATGCTTTGGGAAGATCAGCTTTGTCTTTAGCCCTGAGGAGTCCAGGGCTTTTCGTTTCTTTAGCAAAAGGTGTTCAGGACTCTGAAGTGTTCCTGTTGCATTTTTGTGTCTAGGGAAGCCTGAGAGCTGGATGATTTTCCCTAGCAATAAGGCTCCAGTGTCTAGAAAGGGCCTTTGCTTCACCATTGTTAAACCAGTATTCTTGTACTCTCTTCCTTCTGGGGAGTGTGGGGTATGGGCCTTACACCTCAGATCCAAGGGAATGGCTCTCCAGTTGGCTTTAATAGAGTCAGATGGTGGAAACTACTTGGGGCCAGAAGGCCACTGCCCACTCTCTGTAGCCCATCATTTCTAGGCTCTAGCTTACCTCTCTCTTGTCTACACTGGGTTATTCCGGGTCCAAAGCACAAGTACCCTTTCCTCTAATTCTCCCTGCTGATCAAAAACTTACAGGATATAAGATCTGCAGACCTTAATGGGCATCAGATTACTAGTCCTCAGTAAAATTTATGTCCTGAATAGGTGGTCCAGACACAATGTCTACTTCAGAACTAAAGGAACCCCAAGTGGTCCTGTGTGGCCCATAGTGACAGTGGGATGTTGGCTTGACCTTTTAGTAAATCCAGACTCACAGCCTTTTCAAACTTCACATGTGCTGTCTGAGCCTTTAGACCCTAGATCCAGTTGACGTTGAAGCTTTCTGTCAGCAGCTGAGGCAGCTTTCTGATTTATTCAGCCCATGTACACAGTGATGACTCCTTAGAGCTTGCGAATGCTAACCCTGATGTTCAGAAGTCCCCTACACCCACCTGTGTAACATTCTGTAGGAACCATGGACTGGGGTGATTCTGCAGCCTCCAGTGCCAGGAGGGGCTGATGAAGGAACAGTCTAGAGCTCCAACAGGATGTTCCTGTTCCAGTTCCCCAGGAGCAAGGATCAGGTGACATCTGCAATAGCTTCACACAGATTATGTGACCCTGAAGGAAAAGGAAAACATCAAAGATAAATGAATCTGCTTCACAGCCCCCTTGTAGCTAATCCTGAACACAATAGATGGGGGACTCTGGGAGGATAGTTGGTGCCACCAGAGCCACACTCTAGTGAGTGTCTTAGGTTACAGTGAATTGTTTAGTAGTCCACTTTGCCACAGTGGCCACCTCCATGTTCTTCATTGTCATCCTAAACTGAGCCTCCCTGCCATCTGTACATGCCATTCTCAGGCCATGACCATTGATGTTAGTTCCTTTTATTTTAATTTGTATATGTTTATGTGATCCTTTCTGCTTCATTACTAGTATTGTTGCTTTTAAAATTATAAAATCTCCTGGGTGTGGTGGTGCACACCTTTAGTCCCAGCATTTTGGAGGCAGAGGCAGGGGGAATCTCTGAGTTCAAGGCCAGCCTGGTCTACATAGTGAGTTCTAGGCCAGCTGGGGCTATAGGAAGACCCTGTCTCAAAAAGAAAAAAAAAAAATTATAAAATCTTGGGCCAGCAAGATGACTCAGTAATAAAAGTACTTGCCCCCAAGCCTGACAACCTGAATTTGATCTGTAGGACCCACATGGTAGAAGGAGAGAACTGACTTCCACAAGTTGTCCCCTGCTCTCTAAACATGTGCTATGGCATACATGCAGCACATACACTAAATAAATACAATAATGCTATAAAAATTTTAATTACTAAATCTATTTATTATAAACTATAAAAATGCTATGTTTATCAAGACAAATGATTAAAAATAAAACGCAAGTGGTTGTATGATAACTCTTAGCACACTGTGTGAGCCCATTGTAGCCCACCAGTCTGAGCCCCAAGTGAAAACATGCATTTGTGCAGGTCTCTTACTAGCTCAATGCTAGACCAGCTTGCCTTCTTGCTTCACAAAGTCAGTTTAGATGCTCAAGACCTGAAGGGAATCTGTACTGTGCTGGGACTGAATGGACTGTCTTTCAGGTTACACACAGCTCTGTGACTGGTGGAGTGTTGGTGTGATTCTTTTTGAGATGCTGGTTGGGCAGCCACCTTTCTTGGCACCTACTCCCACAGAAACCCAGCTGAAGGTAAGCAAGAAGGAACATGCTCCCATTTGCTGCAGGGCACCAGAACCCTTAGTGTTGGATCTCTTACTCTGAGAAGGGTAGGAATGGCAGTTGTTCAAAGTGGGATTTAAAAAAAAAATTTATTATTTTTATTTTTATGTGTATGAGTGTATTGCCTGCATGCAAGTAAGTGCACCCGTGTCATGCAGTGCTCATAGAGGTCAGAAGAGGGCATTGACTTCCCCTGAAACTGGAGTCAAGGATGGTTGTTGGCCACCATGTGGGTGCTTGGAACCAAACCCAGATCCTCTGCAAAAGCAACCAGTGCTCTTAACTGCTGAGCCATCTCTCCAGTCCTGAAAGTGGGATTTTTTAAAAAAACTTTAAAAAAAAATTATTTATTATTTTTATTTTATGTGTATGCATATATTGCCTGCATGTAGGTAAATGTACTCGTGTCGTGCAGTGTCCTTGGAGGTCAGAAGAGGCTGTCAGATCCCCTGGGACTGGAGTTATGGACAGTTGTTTAGCTGCCATATGGGTGCTGGGATTCGAACCTGGGTCTTCTGCAAGAACAGCCAGTGTTCTTAACCATTGAGCCATCTCTCCAGCCCTGAAAGTGGGATTTTTTTAAAGCAATTTTTTTTACTATACTTTAAAATTTTTTGAATAGTAAAGCCACAAATTTAGACCTGAGTTTTAATGTATTTGTGTTTCTGAAATTTATTTAAACTTGCCATCTGCCCTCTTGTGATTTTTCAAGCAAGAGCTACTTACAGTGAGACACTGGCCAGCTGCAGATCAGCTTCCTGCTGGGCATCCTGCAGAGAACAAGCAGAGCTCTATTCCTAGAAAAGCCAGTATGCTTATTCGGTTGCCGTGTCACTGTGTTTTGCAGTTATCAGCTAGATGGTCAGGCTAGTTGTGTGTGTACCCAGTACTCACTGAAAGTAATTAAATCTGTTAGTAGATTGTTTAGTAATTCATTTTAGGCTAACAACCATTTGCTTTCTGAAATGTGTCCATCCTTAGTTAAGGGCTAAATTAAGAATCTGAAATCTTTAGTAGACTTACACAAACAGAATTAATTCTAGGGGTTTTCATATATCCTGGTCAGTCCATGATAGGACATAAGAAACTTGAGTCAAAGCTCAGTCTTAAAAACAGTACAATTGGAATTTGACATTTTCTGCATCCTAGTTAAATTGCAGAACCACTCATGAATTTGCCTGAATAGTAACCTAGATTCTTTTTATACTATGGTAAAATAGATATGACAAAATTTACCACGTGAGCCATTTTGAAGTGTATATTCAGTGACCTTAAGTACATTTGCAGTGTTGTTTCCAGATATTTTCATCCCACATAGAAACTTTGTACTCATTAAATAATAGCTCCCGGATCCCAGTCTCCAGAGCCACTTCTAATCTCTATTCTCTCTGTCTCTGAGTTTCACTAGGTACCTTGTATATGTGGATTATATGTTATCTGTTTTGAAAACCTTATTTCACTTAGTATAATATTCTCTGGGTTAAGGTTCATCCTTGTTCTTATGTGTGTCAAGATTTCCTTTCTCTTCCTCTTAAGGCTGAAGTACAGCCCTTTGATTTTGTGCCCCACATTTATTTTATCCATTCATCCACTGATGATTCATTGTTTTCTACCTCTTGGCCACTGTGAATAATGCTGCTATGAATAAGAGTGTGCAAGTATCTGTTTCATCCCCTCCTTTCAGTCATTTTTGATATATATCAAAAAGTGGAATTTCTAGATTATTCCATGTTTAACTCTTAGAAGAACTGCCAAACTGTTAAGAAACATCCACATTATTTTTTCTATCTTGTCATTCATGTATACATGGCGTATACCCAGCAGTTATTCATATATATTTTGAGACAGGGTCTCAGTATATAGCACAGGCTAGCCTCAAACTTGAGAACTCATCCTGTCTTAGTCTCCCAAGTTCTGAGTTTACCATGTCACTCACAGTTCCTGGCAATATCTGTTTTACATTCAGCAGTATACCCAGATTCCATTTTTTCTCCACATCCTTACCAACACTTAATACTGTATCCCCTATCCCTGCCTGATTTTTATTTTTTATTTTATTGTTAGTATTTTCTTAATACTAACAATATGTAGTATTTCTTAATATGTAGTCCAGGATGGCCTTGAACTCATCCATCTGCCTTTGCCTCCCAAGTGCTGGGATTGTAGGCTTTATCATACACAGCCTGACTGCCTTTTTGGAATAATGGTCATCCTATGGGTGTGTGGTAGTTGGTCATTGTCATTGTCACTTAGATTTCATGTACTTCTTTGCCATTTGTGTTTTTTTTAGAGAAATAGTATTTTTGCTCTTTAAAAAATTTATATTATTTTTTGTTCATGGTATATATACTAGATATTAAGTCCTTTTCAAATGCATGTTCTGCAGATCCACTGTTAAATGGTTTGCCTTTTCTCTTTGTTAGTAATGTGCTTTGATATACAAAAGCTTGTATTGCTTGGAGCTGAGATTTCACTGTGTAGCCCTGGCTGACCTGGAACTCTTCATAGACCTGTCTAGCCTTGAGTTTGCAGTTAGCCTTCTACCTCTGCTTTCTTAAGTGCTAGGGTCACAGGTGTGTAGCACCAGACCTGGCACAGAAGTCTTTAATTTTCAAGAAATCCAATTTATTTTTTTCTTTCATTGATTGTGTTTTGGTAGCCTGTTGAAGAAGAGCCAGTGACATGCAGGTTTTACCGTACATTTTCTTTTGTCATCCTCCCAGACAGCACCCAGCTACTTGTCTGCCTCCTCCCTGTTGTCACCCCAGCCAGCACTCAGTCACATGGTTCTAAGTATAAACAGCTAGATAGTTGGTCTCAGACGAAAGCCAGTTTGTAGCCTTGAAGCCCCCCAGCACCACGTCTCTATGAGGAGAAACTAACCCCGTGCCCCATTACTGTGTGCTCAGGTGATCAACTGGGAGAACACGCTGCACATTCCCACGCAGGTGAAGCTGAGTGCAGAGGCCCGTGACCTCATTACCAAGCTGTGCTGCGCGGCTGACTGTCGACTGGGTCGGGACGGGGCGGATGACCTCAAGGCCCACCCGTTCTTCAGCGCCATCGACTTCTCCCGAGACATCCGGAAGCAGCCTGCCCCCTACGTCCCCACCATCAGCCACCCCATGGACACCTCAAATTTTGATCCCGTGGATGAAGAGAGCCCTTGGCATGAGGCCAGCGAGGGGAGCGCCAAGGCCTGGGACACGCTCACGTCACCCAACAGCAAGCACCCGGAGCACGCCTTCTACGAGTTCACCTTCCGAAGGTTCTTTGATGACAATGGTTACCCCTTCAGGTGCCCGAAGCCTTCGGGAGCAGAGCCTGTGCTTGCAGAGAGCACAGACCGCCAGAAGGCTGAGCTGGGCGATGCCACCGAAGGCTGCCAGCCAGTCTATGTGTAGGTGGTGTAATTGGTCAGCCGGGCCCGGCCCAGCCCAGCCCAGCCCAGCCCAGCCCCAGTGCTGTTGCTTCCCAGGGTTGCTGCAGCTGGCTGCCTCAGGGCATCTCCAGAAACTGGTCTTTGACAAGAAAACCCCCCAGCAAGATTTTAAAAAAAAATAGACTTAAAACTAGCAATTCTTCACTTCTAAATTCTGGCTGATGGGCAGTAGGGAGGTCACTGTGGCTTTGAATTGGCTTTTTAAGGACCTTCACTGCATTAAAACACTATTTAAAAAAATTTAGTACCACTTAGAGCACTTATTTTATTGATACCCATTTTTTCTTACTAAATTATAAGGATTAACTCTGACAAATCATGCTGCTGTTACTTCCGTCTGTGTTTTATCTGATAGCACTTGTCCACATTTAGAAAAGACATAAGAACTAAAGACCATGCGATAAGAAATCTCTGTGCAATAAAGTTAAAGAAAGACAGTGCTCTGCTAGATGTCACGGAGACCATGTATCTACACAATAGCTTTGTTTAGTATTTTTTCCCACATTTCAAAGTTGTGATATGTTTAAAAGCTGCTTTTTGTGGGTTTTTTTTTTTCTTTTACATATTATAATATACTAGAAAGTGTGAGCAAAGAACTGATGGGTGTGATTCCAATGTCTGATGTGTGGAAAGTACTGCCTGAGCAGTTTTCTATTATAAAATTACCGTATCTTGCCATTCACAGCAGGTCCTGTGAATTTGTTTTTACCATGTTTTTAAATGAGGTATTCTAGACAGCGTGCTGATAATATATCGTGTGGGTGACTTCCCTATGATTGTATCCCTTATTGTTAAAGAAATGCAAATGTGTAACTGAAGTGTGATTTTTTTTTTTTTTTTTAATGTGTGTGTTGGGTATGATTGGATTCTTTGGCAGGTAAATGTAAACGTTTGTCATATTTCTAAACTACATCAAAAGGGATTAATCAGCTATGCCAAAACAATGAACTTCATCTGGGCTCTCTATCCCTTGCTGCAGTGTGCTCTCACTCTTGGTGTGTTGAATGCTGTAGCTGGACCTGCCCCTTAGCTTCCTCACTGGCAGGGGCCCCACACCGAAGGTTTGCTACTGTTAGCGCCCTGTTCTTAGACAGCTAGGGGTTACCAGGAAGTTCAGTCCTTTTGCCTTTTTTTTTACATTTTGATGAAATCTTAACTTGGTTTAACCAATACATTTTGCTGACCTTTGTTTAAAAAAAAAAAGAAAGAAAAGATTCTTCAAAGTGACATTGGAGTAAAAAGATACAAGCCATACATATTTTCTTAGACATACAGGTGTACATATAACTATAAACAAAATATTCCTCATTTCAAATTAGTATGGTTCCTATCAAAGTGATTTATATTTGAATAAACATTCAACTCTTGCTTTTTAAAAGATCTAATGCATCATATTTTCATTATGTTATTCCACATATTTTTCCTTGAAGTTCTTAGCATAATGTATCCATTACTTAGTGTATATCTAGGCAACAACACTTATACATTTATCTGTGTCTAAAACAATTCCTGTGTACTGGTTTACATTTGTATGAATGGCATATTCTGAAGTCTGCTGTGCTTGTATTGTGACTTACAGTATTTTTGCTATTTTATAGTAATGCCATGTTTTTTACAGCGCTCTGACATACTTTCATGTGGTAGGTTCTTTCTCAGGAACTCAATTTAACTATTATTTATTGATATATCATTGCCTTTGAAAAGCTTCGACTGGCGCAATTTATTATTAAAAATTTAAATCCAAATCCCTTAGTTGGTGATTTTTTAAAAAAGATTATTTTTCTATTTATTTATTTATTTATTTATTTTTAGCCAGGCATGGTGGCGCACACCTTTAATCCCAGTACTTGGGAGGCAGAGGCAGGTGAATCTTTTTGAGTTCAAGGCCAACCTAATGAGTAAAAAATTAAAAAAAAATTTTTATTTATGTATATGTGTTTGTGTGAGTGTACGCCAAATGTGTGTGGGTGCTCATGGAGGTCAGAAGAAGGCATCAGATCCCCTGGAGCTGGAGTTCCAGGTGGTTGTGAGCCACCAATGTAGTGCTGGAAACCGGACTCAGGTTCTTTGGAAGATCAGCAAATGCTCTTAAATGCTGAGCATCTCTCCAGCCATGGTTTTATTGGAATTTGTAAGATCTTTCTTAATTAGCATGTGGTAGCTCTCCCACAGGTTCCTAGTGATTTTCCTGTAGCCAGATGTTTGGACTACTAACAACAGAGTCACTGTCACCACAGGGCAGAGGGAGACATCTCAGATGGGACTGTCTCCAAAAGGACCTGTGATGCTATTCAGACACAAAGTCCAAATCAGCCTAAGGTTCTGTGACCACCACCTTCTGTAAAATGGGGACAAAATATCCTTGTTTAGGGTTGATCAGTGGATTGAGGTATCAAATACAGATGATAGGTGATAAAATCAAGCATGAGCATCTACTCCTGCACCATAATAAAACCCAAGAAGATTGATAATGTTATGGTTTAATATGCAGTGTTCCCCACAAGCTCACATGTTGAAGGCCTGGTCCCCAGCTGTTGGCACTGTTGAGAAGTGACATGACCACCAGGGCTCTGCCTTAATCCATGGATTAATCCCTTGATGGATTCATAATCACACTATTGGGAGGTGGTGGAAAGTAGGTGGAGTGTAGTAGGAAAGCCCTGGAAATATGTTCCTTGCCTTGGCCTCTTCCTAGCTCTCTGCCTCCTGTCCACTGTGGACTAAGTTGCTTTGCTTGATGATCAGCTTCGCTGCAGGCCCACAGTCATGGAGCCTGTTGACCACAGGTTGAAACCTCTACAACCAGGAGCCAAAGTTCACCGCTTTCTGTTGAAAATAGTTGATGAGGGCTGGAGAGATGGCTCAGTGGTTAAGAGCACTGACTGCTCTTGCAGAGGACCAGGGTTCAATTCCCAGCACCCACATGGTGGCCAACGACTCTGTAACTGCAGTTCCAGGGGATCTGATGTCCTCTTCTGACCTCCAAGGGTATTGCACGACACAGGTGCATCTATCTACATGCAAGTAATACACATAAAATAAAAATAAAAAATAATTTAAAAAAATAGTTGACACTATTAAGAAACTTGGATATGGTGATTTATTAACTCTGGGTTAGTCTTTTAACTAGGTACAGTAACATAACTTAAAAATTGAAACACAAAGCCAGGCGTGGTGACACACGCCTTTAATCCCAGCACTCAGGAGGCAGAGGCTGGCAGATCTCTGTGAGTTCAAGGCCAGCCTAGTCTACATAGAGCATTTCAGGTCAGCTGGGGCTGTGGGGAGACCAAAAAGACCCCCCCCCAAAAAAAATTGAAACACAAGGATCTATGAAAAAGTCATCATACTGGGCATGGTGTCACATGCCTTTAATCTCAGTACTTAGGAGGCAGAGACAGGCAGATCTCAATGAATTCCAGGCCAGTCTGGTCTACAAAGGAAATTCCAGGCCAGCCCATGGCTGCATAGTGAGACCCTGTCTCAAAAAAAAGTCATTGTTTCCATTCGTTCAATTCATCTTCCCACAGACAACAGATGGTAATAGTAGTTGTGAATCCTGAGAGAAATGAAGTCTAAGTAGATGTGTATGTGCTTTCTTGCCTTTTAGGGAAATGGGAGAATACCGTAATTTTTTTGTTTTTTTTTTTTTCATTTGACAATGTGCCCTGGCAGCTATATCAGCCCTTTTCGTCTTAGCAGTGGTGAAATTGAACCCAAAGCCTCATGCATGGTAAGCAACTGTGCTACCACTAAGCCATACCCCAAAATCTCTTCATTCTTTATTGCCACTGCATAGTGTTCTATTAAAGGACTATAAATCCACCTCATGTTGACATATATTTAGTTAGTTCTGATCTTTTTCTATTAAAATCACCAGTTACTGCCATTGCTTTGTATATGTTAAAGTAAATACAAAAGATTCCTAGAAAAGGAATTGTTAACTCAAAAGTTAAAGGTAGGGGCTGAGGATGTGGCTCAGTTGGTAGGGTGCTTGCCTAGCATTCACAAAGCCTCAGTCCTGGGTTCAGTCCTCAGCACCACATAAACTGGGCATGCTGGCACATACCTCTAAATCTAGCATTCAGGAGGTAGAGGCAGGGAGATCAGAAATTCAAAGTCATCCTTGGGTACATAGTGAGTTCAAGGACAGTCTGGGTTACATGAGACCTTGTCTCAAAAAAGTTTTATTTTCAAATTAACTTCTTAGATTAGCATATAAACTAATGGGCTTTATGACCTCCTTTTTATTGTTTTGTTTTTTGAGATGGTCTCAGTATGTAGCCTTGACTGGCTTAGAACTTGACATTCTAGATCAGGTTGGCCTTGAATTCAGAGATTTGTCTGCCTCTGCCTCCTGAGTATTGGGATTAAAGGTGTGTACTAGCACACCAGGCTTTTTAAACATTTGTGTGTGTGTGTGTGTGTGTGTATGAACATCTGGAGGTCAGAAGACAACTATGGGAGTTGGTTCTTGCGCCACCATTTCGGTGCCAAGGAGAGAATTCAGGTTCTCAGTCTTGGTGGCAAGCACTTTTATCTGCTGAGCCATCTCACCATCCCCTCACCACCGTCATGCCTTTAGACTTTGTTCTCATTGGTCCCTCTGTCACTGCTCTTCCCTCTGCCCCATCCACTTCCAGCTGGTTCCCATTCTTCCCCAAGTTCCCCCTCTGCTTTCCTAATCTCATGTATTCCTTTACTCTATTTCTCATCTACTTTAAGATCTCTTTCTGGGCTGGAGACATGAATCAGTGGTTAAGAGCACTGGCTTCTCTTGCAGAGGATCTGGGTTCAGTTCCCAGCACTCATGGTGGCTAAGAACCATCTGTAATTCCAGTTCCAGGGAATTTGATGCTCTCTTCTGGCTGCTATGGGCATTTCATACACGAGTGCACTTACATACATGTAGGGAAAATACTCATAATCTTTTTTTAAAAATTTACCATTTTTATGTTCCAGGGCATCAGATCCCCTGGAACTGGAATTAAGGATGGTTGTTAGTTGCCATCTGGTGCTGGGACACAAACCCAGGTCCTCTGCCAGAGCAATCAGTGCTCTTAACTACTGAGCCATCTCCCAACTCAAAATAATTTTTAAAAAGATCTTTCTCCCCTTTCATGATCCCCTTCCTAGTTTTGTGGTACACACACACATAAATAAACAGACACACATGAATGTATATACACACATATGTAATTTCTGATCTAGGCTCCACCTATGGGAGAAAACTGGTATTTATCTTTCTTAGTTTGACTTATTTCACTTAGTAATTTCCAGTTCTGCCCATTTTCATTATTTCATGTTTCTTCCATTGTGTATATCTGCCACATTTATCCACTCATCTGTCAATGGATATCTAGTCTGGTTCCACTTCCTGGCTATTGTGAATTATAGCAGCAACAAACATGGATGGTATCCTTTGAGTATTAATTAGCTCAAGAATGAAATCGCTGTGTATGATAGCTCTAGTTTCAGGTTTGTTTTTTTTTCTTTCTAAAATTTTTTTATTTATGTGTATTTGTGTGTACATGTGTGGATGCATGCTGGGGGTACAAGTGCCCGTGCAGGCCAGAAGATGCTGAATCCCCTGGGGCTGGAGTTATAGGCAGTTATGAGCTGCTTGCTGTGGGTGCTGGGAGGCAAACTTGGGTTCTCTGCAAGAGCAAGAAGGCTTTTAAACACCGAGCTATCTCTCTCTCTAGCCCTAGTTTCAGGTTTTTCTTTTGTTGTTGTTTTGAAACAGGTTCTCCCTGTAGCCCCGGCTGACCAGGAACCTGCCATGGATTCCAGGCTGTCTTCAATCTCACAGAGATTTGCCTACTTCTGCCTCCTGCATGCTGAGATTAAAGGTCTGTGCCACAATACCTGGCTATTTTCAGTTTTTTGAGGAAACTATATGGGTTCCTCTTTCCCCACATCCTTGCAGTTGGTATTTTCTTGATGCTAGCCATTCTGACTTGGGTGAGATGGAATCTCAAGGCAGTTTTGTGTTAAAGGTTAAAGATTTTGAAAACTTCAAGTACTTTTTTGGTCATTGTGTTTCTTCTTTGGAGTACTGTCTAGTCACTTCAATAGCCCACTTACTGATTGCATGACTTTTTTTCAGTTTTTCTCTCTTTCTCTCTCCTTTTTTTTTTTTTTTTCTTTTTTCTTTTTTGGTCTTCTTGAGACAGGGTGTCCTGTAGCCCCAGATGGCCTGGAACTCACTATATAAACCAGGCTGGCATCAAACTCACAGAGATCTGCCTGTCTCTGCCTCCTGAGTGCTGGGATTAAAGGCGTGTGCCACCACCCCCGATTTTTCTTTTTTTCAGTTCTTTATAAATCTTCAGTATTAATCCCCTATCTGATGTGTAGCCATAGACTATCTCTTCACCCTGGTTGCTTCCTTTCTGCAGCTGCTCCTACCTCAGCCTCCCAGCTGGTGAAATTAAAGGCATATGCCATCATACCTGGCTTTATATGGTTTTTTGAAAAGTACATTATTAGAGTGGGGGATGGTAGCTTTTCAACCCTGCACTCGGGAGCAGAGGCAGGCAGATCTTTGTGAGATACAGACCAGCCTGGTCTACATTAGTAAAAAAAAAAGTCATTTTTCCTTTTCTTTATATTTCCTCCTCTCCAAACAGCCACTCTTGCCTTCTAAATTATTTCTTCTAGAATTTCTGTATATCTTTAACATGTTTTTAATAATATATCTTGATTTACTAATTTTAAATATTTTCCAATATTAACTGCATAT